GGTGCTGAATGATCCCGAGCAGCGGCTGCGGCTGTGGCTCTGCGTTTCACCGGGTTGCTCGCATACTTGAGATCAGGACCCCCCGGGGTCCCGACGGTCTGGCTCCCGCCGACATGCTTAGAGGCCTCCGAGGATCTGGGAGCACCGAAAGCACGCGGTTAGGCTGCCCCTTACCCTGCGGTGATGGGAGAACCCCCGAAATTTGTCAGGACGTTCCGAGTACCTGTGCGGCTGAATATATTACACAAAAAAGCACAAATACGCTCCGTATTCTGGAGGGACAAACCAGATTCTCTGTGAAGCAAATACCATCCCTGCCACCACCTGAGCTATGTTCTTATTTTATGTGGCACTGGGATTTTAACCGGGTGGCAGAACAGCCCCCCATATCGTGGCCCTGAGCTGGGAGCTCCGCGTCGGCGGCGGTTGCACCCTGTCCAGGCCAGCGTCCCCTCCATCCCCCTGCCAGAGAAACTCAGTGCTGTATGTTTGAGCTCTGTCTGAAACCACCGTGCATCAATGGCCTCACCTGACACCTGTGTAATAAATGACATTGTTAAAGTGGGTGACTGTTCAGTGCCAAAGCAACGTGAGGATATTGCAAAGGAGGAGGTGAATGCTCATAACCACGTTCGTTCTGATTTCATTTCTTCTGCTTGCTACATGCAGATGTGTGCATGCGCTCCCCAATTCCCCCCCAAACCAACCAGAACTAAGGCCAGTACAGTATGATTTAAGTTTCCAAAAGCTGAACTTCGCTTGATGCTCACTCACTTGTTTTATAACCAAAGCAGAATCCAGATTGTTGTTGCTGTGAAGAAAGTACTGTGCTCAGACCTCACATGCACCCACTTTGCCAGACAACAAAACTAGCAGTGTTCTTCCAAAGGTGGTGCAATTGCATGTCTCCAGCTTTTCTCTTATGCCTCAAGGGAACGCTTTTGCGTATTACCATGTATTTGTATTCCTTTTTATATACATTCACACCAGCTTTTTAAAGACCTGCTGAAGAATTCCAGCTGGGCTGCTTGAACATGCCAAGTCTGAACTTTAAAAATAGCTCTTTCTTTCAGGTTTTTTTTTTACACACTTGTGTACCAGTGTATTCAGTAGATATAGTTACTTATCCAGTTGAATGCTTTCTATTGAAACAATCACAAATATTTCCTTCATATTTTGAAGGGCTAAAAGGCAGAAGTACATAGAAGTTGAGTTTCATTTGAGATGGATATTTTTTTATGCATAGCTGTTAAACTAAGGATAATTGTGCTTTTTTTTTTTTTTTTTAATTCACAAGCAGAATACTCAAAAATTTAGTTACTTGAAAATTGTCCTATAGCATAATGGTGTGAATAGTTGTAGGGTGAATGAGAATTTCTAAGCCTTATTGTTGAGAAGTGCCTGTTCAAAAGAAAGAAGAAAATGCAATAGGCTTATCATATTAGAAAAGTAATTAATTAGAAAGTACACGTGGATTTAATTTTATTTGTCAAATGCCAGTGAGCTCTTTTAAATGAGAATGATATTATTACAATGTGATGCAGTTTATGTTTTATTCAAGAGAACCAGGATAGATAGGAGAATCAAAATTTTAACCTGAACCTGTTTCATAAAGGACTTACTGTAACCTAAGTAAAAGCTATTGGTTTGTATGGATTCTGAAGTAGTTTCCATCCATTTAGTTTGATCTTCTGCATCACACAAAAAATGTGCAATTTGATGAGAATGCATACGTAAGTAAGCAATACTGGCAAGGGTTCTTAGTAGGTGTTTATAGTTCTTAAGAAATTTAAAGCACTATATGAAATTGTTTCATTTTATGTTAAAACACTTTTGAACAAAATCAGGCCAGACAGTTCATTGCTACAAAATGTTAAAAAAGTATAATCCACCCCTATGTATTAAAAATGATGGGAAAATAGGCTTCCCAGGCCTTCTGCAGGAGTGTTTTTGGAGCAAGATTTGCCTCTAATTAAAAACTTCCCCAAGGAGGATATTTATAATCTCCTGTTTCTATGGAAGTGAGGAACATAACTAAGTAACTTTTTTCTTTTGTGTAAACCAGGGGAAAAGCTGTCACTGATTCCAGTGATCTCCAAATCATGCTCTTTATGGTCAAATATTCAGTAGTAATTACCAACAAGTAACTTTTTTTGATACAGAAACTGTTGGGCAGGGTTAAGAAAACATGTCAGCTGAGGTGTCTGTAGCTGTCAATGAGTATGTAAAAAAAACCCCCAACCAACCAAAAGTCCATGAAGCAAAACAACTGTTCTGCTACAGCATGACGCAGGGCTATGTCTAAATTCAGGAAGACTAGATGTGGAGGAACAGCTCAACATCAAATATGTTGTGTTAGCCTAGATATTTTCTAGACAAGATTTATTGCTCTACTATATGAAATCTTAAACAGAAGTTAGTTTCAGTGATGGTCCTTCAAAGGCTATATTTAGCAGAAATGCCATTAAGACATGTGCTTTACAGAGGCAAGTTTCTCACCATTTATCCTTCTACTCAAGGTTCATGTGGCCAAGCTGTAGAAAGAAGACATAACTTGAGAAACATGGTTGTTAAGAAAACCCATTAGGTGTCGCTTTTTATCCTGAACCAATATTGAAGCAAAGCTTTGTAATAATTCCAAGGTACCTTGTGAATCTGCTGGTCTTGTCTTTCATAAGAAATTGTGAAAATTGTTGGAGTTTGCTTTGTTCTTGTGCTGATGACTTTGCATCTTCATAGCTTTCTACAGCCTTTGCCTGTTGGCTGTTTTTTTCCCTACTAAATCTCTGCTGCCATTGTATGCTGTGGGATCTCGTAATTGTTGTATTCAGATACACACAAAACTAAGATACATTAAATCTGTAAAATATTTTTTTTTTGTAAATGTATGGATTTACAGACTAGCTGATAGTGAGGTGAGATGTGAACATTTTGCAATCGCTTACCTTTGATGACTTACCTAAACTGAAAATCCCACTTTTGGCAAGAAGTACAGTCTTCTGCTGATTTGTACGGATGCCATCCATGAACCACATAATTTAACCTCCCCTTGTGCTGTTACATCTGTAGAATGTTCATTTATTTTTGTGCAACTTTAAAATACCTCTAAACCAGAAATTTATGATTTTTATGATTTTTAATCCCACTGTCTGAATCTCCTGTTGGAGAATCCCTTCTTACATTTGCATTTTGAGTTTGAAATTAGTAAGAAACTTAGACTCGCCATTAGTTTGGTAACAGATATTTCCTCCTATATAGTTGTTCATTTCAGGTGAAATTTCCCACATTCTGTGAAGAGAAATTGTAGCATTTGATTTCTGAGATACACTGAGGAGCAGAATACTTATTAGGAAAAGTGAAAAAGGAAATTATAACTGGAAGAGAGTATGTCATATGGTTAATTCAGCCAACAGAATGTACTAGAACACTGATTTTATATCAGTCACATATTGCCAAACACCATGAAGTATCCTTAATGGTACTGTTTGATATGCAGATTTCAGATAATTGGCCTGGATACAGTCTGGATTTATTCACTTATCCTCAGCACTACTATGGAGATCTGGAATATGTGCTCATACCTCACGGCATTATTGTTGACAGGTATGTGTAGTTTGAATGTTATTAAATAAATTCAGTAATATTATTCATTTCTATAAAGGCTGTCATCCACAGACAGTGTGATTTGTCCTGAAATATTATATTAGCAATTATACAAATATTTCTATTTATTTAATTTGGAAAGTAAATAAATGCTTGAAGGTTAGCAAATGCTAGACTTGTAGTTGCCTTTGCAGCTCCATGTCTTGTTTCTTTCACCTGATTTCTGATTTGGGCATTGAGACAAAGGGTCCCGCAAAAAGGAAAGTGTGATCATGGAGTGAAATTGGCATTGGAGTGTAAATTACAAGAGAGATGAACTGAAAGTGAAAGGACGAGTACAAAGTTTTGTCTATAGTTATACCTGAGTGTCCCACTTGCACTCTCACCATTATTTTTAATATAAAAAAAGAAGAAACTACATTCAATTATGTGCAACTTTGGCAACTCCCTAGTACAACTCATTAACGCTGATTAACCTAATGGTTCCTGACTGCACCATTGACTTCTGTCATTCAGCACAACCAAAAAGTATGTTGTGGACTGTTTGGGTCCAGACATTAGGTTTGGAGGGTGGCAGTGGGAAAGCTTGATCACACCTCATTCCTTACCTTGTAGCAGTTCCCGTGTGCTCTCTGTGTAGGCATTTGGCATTTGTGGTAGTCTAGCCCAGTGTTCATGCTCAGCTGCTATTTTGATGTGCTGTTAAAGATCTTACGAAAAAGTTACAAAATGGAAAAGGTAGTTTTCAACAGTGTATTTATTGGGAATATCTGAATGGAATTTCATGGGACGTTTTCTACTTACTACATTTAAACAGCTGGTTGCAAGTACTGAAATTATTGAAACTCCTTGAAAGAAGATTGTAAGCATCCATCATAAGGAAGAGTTATGACTCCTGTATTTGTTTTTAAACACAAGCTTTCTTTTATTGCCTTTTCAGTTACCATTGTATTGAATTTTTTATCTCTTTTGGTTAGAGTTAAATGACTTTTAATTCCTCTTTTTTAAATAGATATGTTATAACCTCAATTCTCATAGAATTCAATATAAATTTGTTTGAAGTAAACATTGAACTCCAGTGTTGGTTTTGTATTCCAACAGAATGAACTCCACTGTTTTTTCTAACTTTAGTAAAAAAGATTGATTCTGTTTGAGTGGAAAAGGACACAGAAATTAATATATTGTGATCATGCAGAATTTTCATATAGGAATAAGTCTCAGCACTTGAGAAAATTATTAGTTAGTAGCAGTTAACTATAGGTTTAAAACTGGTGTGTTTTTAAGTAGAAATTAGTATGTTTTTGCCTGTGCTGGACTTCATACTCTTTTAAAATACAAAGTGGTATTTGGAATTTTTGTACATTTCAGCTCTTCAGTCAATATGAGCAAGAATATAAAAAAATGAAAATAACCATAGAGACGTTTCTTCTTAATGAGAGTTTTTCTCCATTACTTTCAGAGTCGATGAAAGATGACAAAAGACTATTTTACTGATCTTCAGTAAAGGAAGTGAAAGTCTTTTACTAATCTTAATTCTTACATCAGTAAAAGGAATTATGTATTTGAGGTCAAACAAGATGATCTAATGATACCTTCTCTTTTTCAAATCTAAAAAATAGTAATTACTGCTATATGGAATTTACTTGAGCATTACAAATATGAAGATGTGAAAATGAAGTGACAGCTTTTGCTCTTAACTAGTATATTATCTTCAATTTAGAGCTTATTCTTCTCTGGCACGTGCACCTGTAGATTTCTCTAAAGTTCAATGTATTTATGTAGTGGGAAATGGATTGCCATATTACAGTGGGTAGAGACAAAAAATACAACAAGTGTATTTTGAGACATGGGGTAAATTGCATTCTGTCAAGAAGTCCAGTCTCATTGAAATTACTAATCCAATTCAGAAAGCTTTCAAAGAACTTTCCAGTGAAAGTGTTTACAGAAAATAATGCACTGAGCTGTTCTTCCTCAAAACATCAAATGACATTGTTCAGTTTTTTGTTGATACCTGCTTTACATGTAGAAATTACCTGGTGCCCTGTTTTAGGTCTAGAAACACCATCTACCTTGTTCTTTAGAAAGCAAAGCTACTTAAAATAAGCATTCATGTTTGTTATTTCTATCTTGAAAATGTATGTTCTATTGTATGGCAGAAGTGTGTATGTTTGCACTGCAGAATTGTCAAAAGAGACGACAGATACGGGAAATCTGCAATTGCAGATTCATTGGAGCATAACCTTGATTATTCTCATGTGTGTGAACTTAACCAAGTCACTTAAAGCTCTTCACACTCTTCTTTTTTTGCTGTATGAAATACTAATACTGTACACTCTTTATACACTTTTAATTGATGCTGTATTTGTTTACAGTATTTGTATAAATTTAATTAAAAAGTGTAGGGGTAGTATCTTCCAAAGCCTGTTAGTATGAAATATTTCTAATAATTCCCTTCCCTATCTTTCACTTAATTTACTGTTCTTGCAAGGTACTAACATTACAAGTTAGGGGATTATACAGGAATATTTTATATTGATGTTTCCTGAGGTAAAACTGAAGACTAAGTTTCATTCTTTACTCCAATCTCTGAAATGCTTATGAATTCAACATGTACTGAGATGAGTAACTCCCTTTTCTATAACTGGGGAATTTATGCATTTAAGGTTAATGAGTTTGATTCACATGCTTTGCATCTTGAATCCATCACTCTATCTGCCTACTGTGGACTTGATCCAAACCCAGTCAAGACACTTACACAGACTGTAAGACAAGCTATATGCTCACCATAGTGGTTCTTTGTAACCACATGGAAAGCATACCATGAACTTAGAGAATCTGCATCTAATGTTATTTTATTCTTTTCTTTTTTTTTTTTTTTTTCTGCAGGACAGAAAGATTGGCCAAAGATATTATGCAAGACATTGGAGACAATGATATTGTGGTTCTCTGTGTCCTTAAAGGTGGCTACAAGTTCTGTGCTGACCTTGTGGAGCACATTAAAAATCTCAGCAGGAATTCAGAAAGGTTCATCTCCATGAAAGTTGATTTTGTGAGACTGAAAAGTTACCACGTAAGTCAACAGCTTATTTATGTAGATTCTAGTTGTATGTTCGTCATAAATAGTGGACTTTTGTAAATAGAAAATGCCCTCCCCTCCCCCCAATTATAAGAAAAACGGTGTGAAAAATATTTTTGTTTGAAAAACCTGTGAGGTTTTTCTTCAAAATATTTGATCATGTCCCTTCATACTTTATGGATAGTATGAATGAGGATATGAAGCATCCTCAAGCTGTATTTTTTTATTTAGTCTGTCTTAACTTTTGGACAGAAACTTATTCAAGTTTTGGTCATGTAAAATGTCGGCATGTTGTTTGTTCTCAAAATCCTTAACAGTTCTGTCAAGTTTATTTCATGTTACTTTAATTTCCACCCCCATCTCCACATAGTTTGGCATTACTGCAAGATGATAAATCTGTGTCTTATTCTAAATGTTTAATGCTAAGTAAATGAAATGCTTTCATCTTCATAACATGCAGTTTACATAGTAGCAAAATATGCCACTAGATGATGATAGTGTTTTATAAGAAAATGAAATAAGTCATTGAACCAAATCCAGTGTTGAAGTAAGGATCAAGACTTCCTCTTCAGGGGAATTATGCAATAATGATTCATTTGTGTCAGTGAGGCAATGATAGTGAAATGACCGACCTTTTTTTAGAATGCTTGATTACAGTTTCTATTTGCATACGCTATAAATTTATATGCTGCCTTATAGTGCACACTCCATAGTGAGGGAGCATTTCTAGAAGCAAGTTGTCCTAGAAATGTCTGAGGAATTACACTAAATAAATGGAGTGATAATAATTTCTGTCTGAGCATAAATGCAACTTGCTGAGTCTGGTAGTTCCCACAAGATTTTCTTTCCACAGACAGAGGTTGTTGGCATTTTGTTTTGATGCCAGTGACCATAAACATTTCTTAACTTTCACAAATCCTGTCTGAATTTTTTCCTTCATCGAGGAGAAGTAAATGAGAGCCCTTTGTAGTCGTTGGTTAGGATTTGGTCCTGAGACTTCTCTTCGAAGACTTATTCAGGTCCATGAAGGACATGTGCAATACTAATATTATACAATTTCTAGATGTTTAGCAGTACTACAGAACTAATTAATAAAGTCAAATATAATATTTGTCTCACATAAAGGCACATGGGAATTATACTCATTTTTTTTTGATGTAGTAATGATAGCACTTCAGGAATACTGCTTGGCGAATAGTGGAATTACTTAAATTGATTTTTGTTTTGCACCTGCCATATAGGTAATGCACATGCTTTTCATATTGGGTTATCTCTTATCCAGTATGAAGACACTCTGCTTCTAAAATTTCTTTCCTTGGTGACAAGTCAATTCTTATTAGCCATACTAACCCATAACCAATGAGTGACAGATGTATACTGCAAAAGTGTGGAAATCTTGTCATTATTGCTTAGAAAATAAAACAAAAGTGTGTTACATCAAGCAGAAACTGATACAAGTTTTGTTATGCAGGGATGCAACTGTCAAGACTTAAGTCTTAGATGATCCTAGCATTTAGTGGCTGTGCATATTTTGGATCTTAGCCTCATGCTTTAGCAGGAAGGTATTGCCTTCCCTAGAGCTAGTGCTTGCATCTAGTTTTTAGAAAATAAATCCTTTTTTCTTATAAGTGCTTCTAAACAGGTGTCATGTCAATCTGCTTGATTAGTGCTTGTAACAGTGCTCGATACCTGCTTGGTCTTGAGAAGCTGAATGACACTGCAGTATAAATTTGAAATTAAATTAATATTGGTAGGTTCATTCCATGAGATATGCATAAATGTAATGCTGATTACAGTATCAGTACCACTATCTGTCATCCTTTGCATTTTATGTTGTGTAAGGTCTAATTGGAGGTTTTAGGGAATGTACCCTTGTCAGTGTAGCCGTGGTCAGAATGCTTGAGGAACTCGCTGTTACTAGTTTGAGTGACTATCTCAACCTCATATGAGACTTCCAAAGACCCCATGTCAGTTTATTCTGTAATAACATACCTCTCACAATATTTTACACTTTAATCAAAGGCAAATAATTACAGATTTAGAGGTAAGACTCTACATGAAGTCTTGGAGCATCACCAGTTCCACTCCTTTGCCTCATTTTGCTTTTCCTGTTCCACTTTCTATTAAGACTGATAACTGCTCTCTCTTTTTATCCCTTTTTCATTTTATAGACACTGTTCTTCTCATATTATTTATCCTGCTTCCTTTTACTAACTGTTCTCTGTTTCTCTCCTAAAGGGAGTCCTGCTGCTTTCAATATACCTCATTCAGATATGTCTCCCTTCCCCCTTCCAGCTGTTTAAATCCAACAACTAATTTCAGCTCAAACTCATGGGATTTTTGAATTGTCTCATTCCAACATCAATACTGAAAGGTTAGTCGATTTTTAGAGGTTGCAATTTGAAGTGGGATTACTTGTTTTAATCATGTAGCAAAAATGGGCTCTGATTGTCACCCAAAGTCAGATCTTGGCATCAGTGAAAGTATAACTTAACTGCAAAATATCGGTGGAAAATGTTGTACTTTGATATCTGGCATATGGGCATGACTACAGGAAAAGGAGATTGCAAATATGACCAGATTTACATGGCTCTTTGTTTCTCAAACCTGTCATCATATTCCAGAATTCAGACACTTAATTAGTATGTTAAGATCTGCTTTCACAGTAAGTAGCTGAAAGTTGGGCATGTAAATCCTTTTTTAGACTTATTCATACAAATTAATTGATTTTAGAAAGAAAAGCATAGGACACATTCTGTAGATACTAATGAGATGAGAGGCTGCTTGTATTTCCATAATCAGGATGGTTTTATCTGATTTGCAAAATAATGAAATATGTGCCTAAGCCTGGACATCTTTAGGAGAAACTTTCCTGTTTTTTATAAGGGGTGTCTTGTTTCATTATCTCAAATCAGCATGTCAGATTACTGAATTTAGTATATATACAGGTAATGTTGGAAAACCCCATTTGGTTATTATTTTTAGAGGAAACAAAATGGAATACAACTTAGAAAACCATAGCCTAAAAGTAATATTTATAGCCTAATAATACTGTTTATATTCTACAGGCATCAGTATTCGTTCTTAGACCTTTAATAGAATTTCTGCAACTGAAACTGGAGGTGCATCCTTGTCTGAAAACATATTTTTATTTCCTCTAGAAATAGAACTGTATTTTTCCTTTTCTTTAGTTTTTTTTCACTAGAATTCTAAAATGATACAGAGTAGAGAAAGTTAAGGAGTTTACACCTGGACAGAAACTAATAGGCTTAGGTGTAGATCAATAAAGAAAAAATTAGGTGTGCTTAATTGTAAACAAAGTTTATATCTGTGAGAAATATACAATTTACAAAGAAACACTTGATAACATTGTTATAACTCAGAATTTTAAGGCTTCTTAATCAGTCAGACTGATATTAAAAATAATTGTGAAATGGAAAAGAATCATGACTGGAAGATACATGGATAGTTTCTCTCCATAGAAATACAATTTTTGGAGAATGCCATTTCTTGTAGACTTACAGGTGATATGATATACTTGTTCTCATTTTAATTTTGTGTATTTAAAAGAGCACAAAATAAGGAGATTATTTAAGTGGGGGGTTGATTAGAGGCTGTATGGCCACTTTACAAGCTTCTAGCGCAGCAGGCAAGTTAAAAGAAAGCACCAAGGTGAGAGGAAGTATTATTTCAGAATAAACATATGTGGAGGTATCATGTAGACTTAAGGGCAAGAGTCAGGAAGTAGATGGAGAGGAAATTAAAATCCAATGATGGAAATTTGAATGAGAAGCGGTGGCTCTGAGTTTTAAGAGTCAGAGCAGAGAAAACACACTTTCTGAATGAACTGAAGCATAGTGAGGCAATAAGTATAGTGGGTAGACAAGGAAGCACTAGAATAGTCCTCACATGAAATCTGATGTGGGTATGGAGAGCTGCATGCCAAGTTTTAGGGGAAAACAATATATTCTGGAAGCACTGGTGTAAGAACTGATAGAATTTGGCAGCTCCTTAGATATTAAGTTCTAAACCATCAGATTTTAATATAAAATAATTTAGGAACAGCGCAATTGACTGCAGAGATTTTTGAGTTTAAACCTGGATGGATAAAATTTAATATATTCAGCTTTCACCATACTCAATTTTTCCTGAGTGATTGCTCCTCCACAGGGTATTAGAGGTCTGAAGTTGTAAAGAGGTGAGAGTTTCAGATTGATAGAAGAATTCAGTATTATTTTCAGAAACATGGTAGGTTGAAGTCAAGGTTGAAAAGTAATGGAGGAAGAAGCTTGGCTTGGGAATGTCATCTAAGGAGAATATGACACCAGCAGGAGAGGTAAGAAACCTGGATCCAGAAATTTTTTAATATGTTTGTTATATTAATAACTTTAGGAGAGCAAAGAATGAATTAGGAAGAATCCAGAGCGAGTACAACAGAGAAAGCAGGAAGGTGTTTTACTAGGGTGTTTACAAATTAATGGACAAGACTAGACCAGAAAGAATGAGGATGAACCAAAAGAGAGAGTGAACAAAGGAATAGAAGGATGTGGATGTCATGAAGTACTTAATGGGATATGTTTTAGTAAAAAACATAGCATGAGAACCATAGCAAAAGAGTGTTCACAAAAAATAAATAGAGCTTCTCTCTATTCAGTGTGGAAGGGACAATTTAGGACAGGCTGATAAAGGTAAAGGTTGAGTTAGAGTTTGAGACAGAAAAGGATGTTCCACCAACTCATCAAGTCTAATCCCCTGCTAATAGATTTAACAATATCACCTAATCCTGTTCCATAGGTATGCCAAATGTGATATTTAAACCAAAGCTTATTTTTGTAATGGAATTGGAAAAATTTAAGTGGAGAAGTAGAGGAAGTATGCAGAGTCTGTAGACTTTCTTAAGAAGTTCTCAGCAACCTGTCAGTAGAAGAGAAGCTAAATATGTGTGAATTAAGACTTCTTTAGTGGGCAGATGATGGAAGCTAAAAATTGAAAGA